CCTTCCCATCCAACCCCCTCCCCCTCCCATCCAACCCCCTCCCCCATGGCTGTTATTACATTAATGGGAGGTGGGTGGGTGGTTTTAACATAGAGTCCTACTTCTCAAGCTTATTATTTTTCAGTGTCATTGTGTTGTCCGTATCTGTTAGGACAAGGCAGTGCAGTCCCCAATATCCGGATCGGATGCGGGAACAAGTTTACTTGTACTTTATCTGTTAGGTATGACATATGTGGCCCTTGAAGCTATAAACCTCTGCATGTCGACGCCTCAGTCATGACATTAGTTCTCTCAAACCTGCAAATAAAACCGTGCCTGCGTGTACTTTGTGCTGAAGATATTGGTTTATCGAGTATCTGTCTTTGTCACGGGGATGCATTCCTCATGTGACCCATGTCGATCGCCCCTGATATGTGGGGTATTGGAGCAGCCTGTCTCCCAAATAATACATTTTAAAAAATCGATATCAACAAGACTAGAGGGCGACCGAGAAAGACCTGGATAGATGGAGTCAGGGAAACACTAACAACTCACGGTATCCCCCTGACCCAAGCTCTCCGGCTGGTGGCAGAGAGACGTCTCTTTTTTCCCGCGATACCCGAAAGGGTATAAGCGGCGGATAAACGTAAAAAGTAAAGTAACGGGTTTTTTACGGGGAGGGGGTGGCTAGAGTATCTGCCAAAGGTAGTAGATAGGTACGTGTTTGGGTTTGTTTTGTTTTTGTAAGGTTCTTACACTTACGGCGCTCGCAAATGCATGAAGTCATATGATCGCCAAGGGGTGGATGTCAACAAAGAAGTCCAAACGGGGAATCAGACTTACTCTGCTCACCTCTCTAGCCTCAACAGTACAAAGTCTACTTCGACAACCGAGGCACCCCAGAAATTGCAGTTCACAGGAGAGTGACAAACATACAACAGAAGTAGAGGAAATGTTGTTGTTTGTTGCTCGGTCGTAACAGAGTGACGTAACCTGATAAGTGTAACGTTGTGATATGTGAACTGTGATAGTTCACGGACGGTTATCTTAAGGTTTGTTTTCCTATTGGACAGACTGTTGTGATCAAACAACGTTATCTGTAGTGTCTGTTCACACTTTGTGTACGGTGTCGGTGGCCTAGTGATTAGGCTACCGCACTCGTAATCGTGAGATTGCATTTAGTTTTTGTAAGTTTTTATAGCGCTCGCAACAGCATAAAGGTCACATGAGCGCCAAGGGATGGATGTCAACAGAGAGGTCCAAAAGGGGAATCAGGCTTACTCTGCTCACCTCTCTAACCTCAACAGCACAAAGTCTGCTTAGTCTATCAAGGCACCCCGGAAATAGCAGTTCACAAGACCGGGAAAAACATACAAAAGAAGTAGAGGAAAAAGCAGCAGTTCCCTCAATGTTGTTCCGGCACAGTATGAGCATGATATTGATAAATCAGCCGATTTACAATTCTACTGTGCATAAGAACATATTAATGTCCCCCCTTTTGAGAATGGCCAAAAGACACTCCAGTCTGTACCACTGTCCTG